TCCATGTTGGATTCAGAGGCTGGGACTGATGTCAAAGACAAAGGAATGTTCTAGGTTTCGGTCACACAGTGTCTCCTTCACCCTAGAGAAGACAAAGAATGAAGACCTGAGCCCCAGGCTGGAAGGGAAACCTCTCATTTTCTTTTCTTTTTTAAAAAAATTTTAAATTATTATATAGTTGGTGTTTGACCTACATGTCTTTGTGAGGGAGTCGAATCCACTGGAACTTGAATTACAGATAGTTGTGAGCTGCCATGTGGGTGCTGGGAATTGAACCTGGGTCCTCTGGAAGAGCAGCCAGTGCTCTTAACCACTGAGTCATCTCTCCAGCCCTTCTCAATTTCTTTACATGAAAGTCTGTGTGAGGCTTCCTCTTTCTTCTCTACCCCTGGACCCCAAACCCCAAGAGCAGGACCCACTGCTGATAGCCTCTGCACTTTCCACGGCGTTGGTCCAGGGCTGGCTGCGGGTAGGTTCTTGGCCATCGACTGACTGGTTGACTTCGGATCGGAAGTACACCGAAGAAGCATTTGAAACACTCTTGACCTTCTCTAATGGGACAGTTGCTGGCTTGGGAAGGTGATTTAGGGTGGCTTGTCAGCGGGGTGAGGATTCTGAGTGCCTGAAAAGAACATCATAATTAGAAGAACGGCACATTTTACTAAAAATACACTGTTATCTTGGTTTTACACTTAAATGAAACATTTGGGTCTGTGTGAAATTTGGATGATATATTGAGGGCAATTTCTCCAGCACTATTCTTGAGGCTGATGAGCACCACCCTGCGGGAGTATTCTGGTGTGGTGCTGGCTGGTGAAGGGCTGTCCCCGACTGTGGGGTGGGTCCTATTTTCAGGTGGAGAAGTAAGAGGAGACATTTTCTAGAACAGTGGGAGATGTTTTCAAAAAGCCGAGTGACAGTGAAGGTATGAGTTCCTTCTCTCCCTCCCTGTACGGGGGAAAGGGAAGGCCAGTTCCACTCTACTCTCTGCAGGGAAGCACCAATCTCCAAAAGAGATCTGACCTTTATCAGGGGCTCCTGGGGGATAACCTTTGATGTCATTCTTTGCTTGAGTGTCTCAAGTCATAGTGGATAGTCGATGCCATTCTATTTGGGAACTGGCCACTCTTAGATAACCTAATGGACAAAGATGGCCTCACCGGAAAGACCTGCCGTGTGACTTTGGGTAGGGGCTTTGGGTCACCAGTCTCAGTGACCTGAAGTCAGAGATCAAATGTCATTCAGCCAGTCACGTTATGTAGCGAAGCCTGGACAACTGGACACTGAGGCGTGGGGAGCTTCCTGGGCTGACAGTCTCTGTACATGTCACATATGGGTACCACAGGTAAATATCACAACACGCATGTCCAGGCTCCCTGGATAAAGGATGACAGAAGAAACGAGAAAAACCCTGCATTTGAGAGTTTGCTGGGCTCCCTCCCCTCTGCCTGCTCCTTCCTGGGGCCGACCAGCCTCTGTAGCAAACGGCAGCTTTCAGGGACTCTGGGACTTTCTAGATGATACCAAACCAGAGGGTGTTGGCAAACCCCTGAGCTTCCAGCTGATGGCAAGAGAGAGGAGTCTTGGGAACTGCCCTCTAGCTTTGCACTTAGCTCTGCACACAGTTGAGATCGGGCTGTGTCCCACTGCAAGTTACTCCGTATTGCATAAAAGAGACCTGTTTCAGACTAGGCCTTGTCCTGAGAGACTCCATTTTGAGGACAGAATGACTGTGCATGTTGATGGGCATGCAAATGACACCATCTGTCAGACACTGTCCTGGAAGTATCAACGGATAAGTAACTTATTTTTCAAGATAGAAAGGGTACTGGAGACATGGCTCAGAAGTTCAGAGCTTTTGCTGAACGATCTTGAGGACTGGAGTTCGGATCCCAACATCCATGTAAGAAGCTGTGAGGAATCCAGTGTCCCCTCCAGCACACATATGTGCACACACCCAAAAAACAAATGTACACACACATAAAAAATAAATAAAAATTAATCTTTAAATACATATGTAAAGTGGAAAGGATGCTACCCTATAGATTTATCAAATTTGGACTGTAGGACCACATGCAAGTATTAAAATCATATCAGGCAAGGGGCAGCGAGATGGCTCAGGGGGTAAACGCACTTGCCACCAAGCCCAGTAGCCTGAATTTGATCCCCAGGACTCATTCAGCAGAAGGAGAGAATCAATTCTCACACACTGTCCTCTGACTTCCTTGTAGATGAAATTCTAAACAGTTTTAGTAAATAAGAAACACGGAGCCAAATACAGAGTTAAAGCAAAATAGATCAGAGCAAGAGCTACCTGGCTTTGGCTTACCACCAGCAGTAGCTTCTCCCGAGAGAGAGCTTCTAATGTCTGACTTGTGTTTTTATTGCTTTCCTGTTCTGTTTTCTCATTGGCTCTAAGCCCAGCCACATGACTTCCTTGCCACTGCCTGTCTATACTGACCTCCTGGTCTCTATGGTTGGTACTGGGATCAAAGGTTTGTGTCACCACGCTTAGCTGTGTCCTCTGATCTCCAGGCAAACTTTATTTATTAACATACAAATAAAATCACATTTCAGCACAATTAAAATATCACCACTCTTCCTCTCATGTTTCTGTGACATGCACATGTATGGCACAGGCACACACACACACACACACACACACACACACACACACACTCACATACAGAGAGAGAGAGAGAGAGAGAGAGAGAGAGAGAGAGAGAGAGAGAGAGAGAATAAATTAGATGTAACAAAAATAATTAAAATCCTAGCAGGAAATCCAGGCCCAAGAACTTACTGAACACATCAGACCAAGGAAAAGTTTCAGCATCCTCACTATGAGGAGGACACCTAACACCATGATGGTCCCCACTGACCTGTCATCTGGCCACCAAGTATGTGCTTCAAGGACTAATAGGCAGAGAACTCACAACAAGTCTGGGACTTCAGTTTGCCTCAGCCCATCCTGTTGATGCAGTCTGTTTGAGTTGCCATCCATTAATAGTCCCATTCATCTGTCTGGACTTGCTGTCTGTCCACGTACTTGTTCTTCCATCTGGAGCTAGTCCTACCCTTCTACAGCCTTTATGGTCCCACATCTAACATCTACAGTTGACCTCGACCCTGAGGCTTGACTCTCTTAGTGTCCCCAGTAGCCCTCCAGCAGGGTTCACTTGACAATCCCCTTCCCCACCTCCCTTCCCCATTTCTGTCTGCCTTTCAGTAAGGAATCTTTGGAACTCCTTGCAGTCTGCAGTGGCCTCTGTCACCCTGTGTAGCCACTTAGACATCTGAATCTGTCTAGACATGTACACACACATATGGATGTGCTTTCTGTCTGGTTTGTAACCCACCATCTGAAAGTTGATATTAGTAGTTAAGAACTAAATAAAGAACCTGCATTTGCCTTGGCCAGCTCTCAAGGGAAGTCAGGACCACCTTGGCAAACTGTAGGCGTTCCAGGCGTCTTTTGTGACCAGAGCCCTTGCAATACTGTTCTGCTTGTTTAGAATGTTCTATGAAAATGTCTATGTGGCTCGCTCCCTCTCTCTTTTAAACATTCTTCAAATGATCAGTGTCTATGGGGCTCATTCCATCATCTCTTTTAAATATTCTTCAAATGATCAGTGTCTATGGGGCTCGCTCCCTCGTCTCTTTTAAATATTCTTCAAATGATCGACTTTACCATTTTCGTTTTGACTGCATCAGTCCTCCACCTCTCATCCTCCTTCATGTTGTTACTGCTCTCCACAAGATGTTAATTGTTTTTCCATCTAATATAACAATGCACTGCTTTTTTGTCTCTTACTTTTACAGTGGAATTTTATAAGAACAGGATTTTATTTTTCAGCCATACATACACCTAGAACGGAAGAGGGTGTCAGATCCCCTGGGGCTGAGTTACAAACAGTTGGAAGCTGCCCAATGCGGTACTGACAACCAGACTCGGGCTTTTTTATTTGTTTGTTTGTTTGTTTTTGCAAGAGCAGTATGTGCCTTTAACCTCTGAGCCATCTCTCCAACCCCCTACATAAAGATTTATTAAAAATCAACCACACAGAAGGGAATCCTAGATTTTCCTATTTACAAATTGAAAACTTCGGTGTGAACAAGGAAACACAAAGCTACTACAGTAGGTGTTCTAGAAAACCCCCACTCTCCCTTGAAATAAGACCTTTGTAAACTTTGGAATGAATAATTCCACCAATGAAAATCCGAGTTCTAAGCCCTTCCCCCAGATCTGAAAACGGGCTTTGTTATGAGCACATTTGCTGAAGTCTGCCTACAAAGTTCTATATTTTCCACACAGTGCTGATATAAGTTGATATTAATTTGGAGGTTTCCCCACCACTTCTAATATGCTATCTATGATTATTTTCAAAATTCCTGTTAGCGCCTAGATCCAATTTTTAATTTTAAACACCATTTTAAGTTAATGAATCCTAAAAAAAAAAAAAAATTAGGAAAAGAATTTTGAGCTATGACTGGATTTTAAAAGTCAGTTTTCTTTCTTTCTGGGATTCTCTTAATGACATGAAATGGTTCTGCTATATATAATCTTCTAAGGGATTTATATTAAAAAGCTTTTAGGTAATTAAGGCCAATTTCTGACATTGTTTTTCAATCAGGAAAGGTTTTTGACTGAAGCTGAGAACTGATTGAAGAGTTACCCAGCTGATGCTGCTCAGACTGCCCGCTGCAGGCCGACCCAGAGCCCTTGATGCTACGTTTTAGGGGTGGGGTGGGGTGGGTGACGACATGTGTTAAAGGTTTGGTCCCTCAGGTGACACTTACAGCATTTAAAGGATCAAAGGATCGTACCCCATGGGAGGCCCTTAGATGACTAAAATCAGAAGGGAATTAGGAGATTCGGACCCTTTCTCTTCCCCTTTGCTCCTTGGCTCACGATGCTAGAGCCTTTGATCCATCATGAATTTCTGCCACAGTGGCGTAAGATCTTCTGCCTCGACAGGAGACTGAAGCAATGAGACCAATCAACCACAGACCAGAACTCCCATTTTAATTCGCTTCCTCTTGAAGAGTCAGTTATTTCAAGTATCTTGTTATAGTTCCGGACAGTGGACTGACAGACAGGAAAGTCCTGGCTTGCTAACCTGTCTTTCAAGGCACAGAGGAAAAAGCTAAGACCTAGGAGCAGTCTGAGACTACTCTCCTTTCGTTTCCAATGCTGTGACAAAATGGGTTCTTTTGGCTCGATTTGCCTGCATAGACGCGGTGTCCGGAGTCTGAAGCGGCTGGTCACATTGCGTGCAGCCAGGAGGCAGAGAGAGGAATGGAATGCTGGTGCTCGCCTCACTTTGTTTTTTATCCAGTAGTCCCCTGCCCACCAGTTCTTGTCATCCACATTCAGGGTGGGTCTTCCCTTCTCCACTAAGCCTTTCTGGAAACACCCTCATAGACACGCTCGGGAGTATGTTTCCATGGTGATTCTAACTCCAGTCACATCGACAAGGAGTGTTCGCCATCCCCGCTTGTTAATACGGTGGCTTTACTGACTGACTTGAACACCGCACCAGCTCCTCACTCCCGGCATGAGCTCCTTTTGGCCGTTTGGATGATAAATTGTATCGCTTGAGAAGCCCACAGGAGGCCCACGTTAAACCCTGCTTCTTGCTCTGTCTGTGAAGATGTTCCCTGGTGAGTTAGGGTTTGAATATGTGGACTCCGCAGGATGGTCTGTCCTCTGCACGGTGGACAGACATCCAATTTGTGGAGACCTAGAATAAAATGAAGGGCAGAGGAAGGAGTGTCCCAACCCTTCCTGCCCCCTCCAGGGGCCTGTTTGCTCAAGTTGGTTAAAGTTCCCAGCACCTCTCCAAATAGCGTCCTGGGGAGGCCAAGCCCCCGACAAAACTCTTTTTAGGAGTAGGCTTTAGATCCAAATATAACCATTGTTTGCCTTTTGCCCACTTTGACCTGTTTGTTTCTTAGTGAGAAGTTTGGGTTATGAGGTGAAATCTTTTTTTCTTTGTGAGTGGAGTACTTCCTGTCTTGATTCCACCCCTAGACCTGCGGTACCTGTTTCTACAATGTTTCCTTTCAAATAGCTTTTACAGTTTAGATGCCCATAGTTTTAAGAGACATTTTAAAACATTTTCTTCAGCTTAAAATATTTTTCTAGTTTTCCTCAAGATTTTCTCTTCAATCCATAGTTTACTGAAAAGAATTTTGTTTAATTTCTGAGTAGTTGGAGATTTTGTTTTGTTATTTATTTCTACTGTTATTCCATCATACCTAGAAAATATACTTTTTAATATTTCAATTTTCTAAAAGCTGTTAAAATTTGTTTTATTTTATAGAGTATAGTTATCTTGTACTATATGTATTGGAGAGGTTGTAGCTTTGAATAGGGACAGATTTTGTATTTCTGGGATGAATATACTTGGTTATGGTATATTATTCTTAGTTTATATTGTTGAATTCTTCCAAATTCAGCAAAATTTGTTGATGGGTAGAGTTTTTGTAAATGTCAAGTCGATCTATTTGGTTGACAGTATTGCTTGGTTATCTACATTTGAAATTTGTTCCTCAGTATGGAAGAAGAGTTTGCCTCTAACTATGATTTTACTCTTTATGTACTTGTCCTGTTCTGTCAATTTTTGTTTTACACATTTTGAAACTCTGTTATTGGGTTAATAAATGTTTAATAGTATGTCTTCTTTGTAAACTGATATTATCATTGTCGTTGTTAAATACCCATTTTTTCCCTCTGAAGTTTGCTTTGTTTGATATTTATATAGCCCTTCAGCTATTTGTTATTGCTGTCTCATTTTTAAGATAGGGTCCTGTGATGTAGCACAGGCTGCCCTTGACGCCTGACCTTCCTGTTTCCATCTCCCCAGTACTGGGGTGTGCCGCCACAGCTGGTTCCCACTCTTTTTTTTTCCTAAACACTTTCTTTGTATTTTTGCCTCACTTCCATGTAACATTTGAAGTCAGCTTTTAGATAGCATATAGTTTGTGGTTGGTCATCTGGCCCAATAGCCTTTGCCTTTTAGTTGAGTTTAGACTAAGCACCGGGCGATAGTTGTGGGCCTTGCCCAGCCCAGGTCTGTTTCTGTGAATGAACTTCTGTGGGAGCACAGGACACCTGTTTCTTAGTTCTTCAATGGAGGAATTCAGTGGTTGTGGCAGCATGTGTGGCTTCAAAGCCTAGATTTATTACTTGGCCTTTTATATTAAAAGAAAACCTTAACTTCTTGTTTAATAAGTTCGGGTTAATATTACTGTTTCAAACATTATTTTCCCTATATTCTCTCTTTTTCTTTTCTGGTCTCAGTACTCCCCTCTCCCCACATTCTCTTGAAGCATTTGAACACTGTGCAGAATTCCATTTTGATTTTTTTCTTTTTTGATAGTAATGGTAACTGAATTCATAGCCTCCTATGTGCCAGACGGTCTTGACCAGTAAGCCACACCACTATGCCTCCATTTAAATTGATATATTATGGTTTTTTTGTTTTTTTTTACCCTTCATTACTCTGTACTCAAGTGCTTCCTTGAGAGCATACATACAAACTATTAATATTCCAAAGTATATAATTCAATGTTGATCAATGTGAAATATAGCAATCTTACCATGCTATAGCTCCTCTTACTGTCTCCTTTACATTGCTGTCTATCTTATGTATTAACTTATGTACATTCAAAAAGCCGATCATACAATAATCCTTACTTTCAGTTACACAGCTTCTTTCTGTCTTGAGACAGGGTCTTGCTACTGTGGCCTAGGCTGTCTTGGAACTTACAGTGTTCCTAAAGTCTCCTGAAGGCTGGGGTACAGGCGTGTGTCACTATGTCTTATTCAATTAACAAACATTTAAAAAAGAGTTCGAGTCTAAATATTTCCCAAGATCTTTGTCTTTTTATCACTCTTCAGCTCTGATGGCCTGAGGGTTTTGTTCTGTGTTTCATTTCCTTTTTTTTTTTTTTTTTTAAAGAAACAGGGTTTCTCTGTGTAGCTTTGCGCCTTTCCTGGATCTCGCTCTGTAGACCAGGCTGGCCTTGAACTCACAGAGATCTGCCTGCCTCTGCCTCCCGAGTGCTGAGATTAAAGGCGTGTGCCACCACCGCCCTCTTTCTGTATTTCATAGGGAGTCCACTAGAAATATGGCAAAAATACAAAGAAAATGTTTAGAAAAAGAAATGGGTGGGAACCAGCTGTAGCGGCACACCCCAGTACTGGGGAGATGGAAGCAGGTAGATCAGGAGTCAAGGGCAGCCTGGGTTACATCACAGGATCCTATCTTAAACCATTCATGTTGTTCTCTATTCCTAATGTTTCTAGGGAACATGCCCATTAAGAAAATAGAGTTCATGCACACCAAATCTTCTAGCAGATTCATGCAGGGTAAAGTCATAGAGATCCAATGATGGTATTTTTAAAATGTATTTATTTATGTATATGCGCACATGTGTCCAGGTGCCCATGAATACCCTGGAGCTGAAGTTCCAGGTGGTTGTGAGTTGCCAGACCTGACCACTGTACTCAGATCCTCTACAAGAGAAGTCAGTGCTCTGAACCTCTGAGCCGTCTCCCCAGACCCCTTAGAATGATTCTGAAGGCCTACTCTCTTCCCCGATTCATATGCTTTTTAAAATAAGACTTATTTGTATCACTTCCTCCCAATAGCAATACAAGCCCAGCACTTACCCACACGCTGCTGTACTTGCTGCGATCTCAGTGAACACTGCGGCCGGCCATTCTCTGTCACCCACGCGAAGTGAGCAAGCAGAAACTTGGGAATCTTTTTGTTTTCTTTAAAGATTTATTTATTTATTGTGTATACAGTGTTCTGCCTGCACATATTCCTGCAGGCCAGAAGAGGGCGCTAGATCTCATTACAGATGGTTGTGAGCCACCATGTGGTTGCTGGGAATTGAACTCAGGACCTTTGGAAGAGCAGCCAGTGCTCTTAACCGCTGAGCCATCTCTCCAGCCTGAAACTTGGGAATCTTAGTTAACCTGCCCCAAGTCTCCAGGCTAAAAAAAAAAAAAAAATGAAACATAGGCTTATAACTAACATGCCTGGACTGTCCATGACTCAGAAATCAACATCTGTGGAAATATTAGGGGCAGGTGACATTTCTCCTGGGCCAGTTTCTGACTTATGTATTTCTTCTTTCTGACTTGACTCACAGGCAGAGAGGACATTCTTCTGATCTATAAAAGATGAAAAGACCGGAAGGACAGTTCATGTTTTCCTTCGATTTCCCCCAAAGACCTTTCTTGGTAGTCTCAACAGATGATGTCAGGGCAGTGTTATGGCAAGCATTTAGCTTTGGCGAGCATTTAGCTGTCCCTACTTGGCTTGAGGCTGACGTTAGTCTCAGCTCCCTTGACATGAGTTTGCTTGTGACACGCAAATCTTCAACACTGTCGTTGTATGGGATTGTATTCTCCAGCCACTAACGGTGAGTACGGAAATGATGATCCTGAGCCTGGCTTCTCTGTCTCTCAGGGTTGAACCCTGTAATTTCACCCATTGGATTTGCAAATGAAGGTGATCTTGCACTGTTTAGCTCAGTTGCTGTTCTCCCCGTGGGTGGTGCTGCACCACCTGTCACACTGACGGGCACACTCCTGTCTGCTGCCTTCACCAAGTCCTCTATCAGGAAAGGCAGCATGGAAATCTCAAAACCCACAGGAAGCGATCGAGAGCCTTTGCCCCAGCGTGTCTCTGCTGCCTCAGCTCTTGAGCGATTCAACACCAGCCTCCCCAAGGAGTGAAGGGGCTCAGAGAAGCCGTGACAAAATATGGAAACAATGGGTATTTTAGCTGAAGGCACTTGGGTAGTAACAGATGTAAGGAAAGGCTGATTACCCTCGTCTTTTACCTAGAACAGTGATTCTCAACCCGTGGGTCATGACCTCTCTAGGGTCACATATCAGAGACCCTGGTATCAGATGTTTACATTATGATTCAAAACAGTAGCAAAATTACAGTTATGAAGTAGCAACAAGAATAATTTTGTGGTTGGGGGTCACCACAACATGAGGAGCTGTATTAAAGGCTTACAGCATTAGGAAGGTTGAGAACCATGGTTCTAGAATCAGGCCATGAAGTTTTCCTTGAGTAAAAAAAAAAATGCCCTCCCTCATCAGAGCCTAGAAAGCAGAGCCAGGAGCCACCACAGCAAAGTAGACAGGTGCAAGCAGCTCCCCAAAGTAACTCCTATGTCCCTTGGATCCCCATGTTTTTCCTGCTCGATGCCCCACGATTTGCAGCCCAAGCCCCAGTGCCCTGTCACACCCCCCCCTAGTTTATTCCTCATGTAAAAAGCTTTTGTCCTTCACATCCTTGGGTCTTCACTTTCTTTCTGCAGACACCCACTTGCACACAAAGGATGAAGTGGTGTGCCTTACCCATGCTCTCTGATGTCAGTTCACTTCTTAGGGCGACCTGACAATCTATGGGGACAGAGGGAAGCTTCCTTCTCCTGCTATAGCAACAGCAACAGACCTTATCTGGGTGTTTGTGGACTACGGCATACTTTCATAAACATCAGCGCGTTTAAACACCATCAACATGACAGCCCTTCATTCCCCACACTAGCAATGCTGTTTCATAGTTTCTAGTAAGTGAGAAATGTTAGGAGCAAACAAGGGTTTCCAACTTGACAGGCAGTGCCGTCTCCAGGCCGGAGCCTGTAAACATTGGCATGAAGGAACATGATAGAAACAGGAGCACAGGACTCTCAACATCCATGTTTTCCTGCCCTAGCCCCTTGTAGGAGGATGTTTCTCTCCCCTCCAACAGTTCCCAAATAATCGACACAGAGGCTACATATTTATAAATGCTCAGCCAATAGCTCAGGCTTGTTACTAGCGACATCTTACATTTAAATTAACCTATATTTCTCATCTATGCTTTGCCACATGGCTCATGGCTTCTTACCTCATTTTCTTTTTTAAAAAATTAATTAATGAATGAATTTATTTTTAATTACACTCATGATATTCATTAATTACACTCATGATATTAATTACATTTGTGGTATCTATTGATTACATTTGCTGTATTCATTCAATAATTATATTTATGATATTCATTAATTACATTAATTGTATTGATTTATTACATTCATGATATTATGTCCTGATACTACTGTCCATTTGTGGGACTTTTCCATCACACAAAACAGAGATTCTGTACTTAGGAAATCATTGCTCTATATTCCTTTCTTCTCCATCTTGAGATAATGTCTAATCTTTCTGTCTCTATAAATTTGCATATTCTATAGTAATATAATTCTATAGTATTTGTCCTTTTTTTTTCTTTTCTTTTTTTTTTTTTTTTTGGTTTTTCGAGACAGGGTTTCTCTGTGTAGCTTTGCGCCTTTCCTGGAACTCGCTTTGGAGACCAGGCTGGCCTCGAACTCACAGAGATCTGCCTGCCTCTGCCTCCCGAGTGCTGGGATTAAAGGCGTGCGCCACCACCGCCCGGCTATTTGTCCTTTTTTTAATGTAAAAATATTTTATGTACAACTGCAGGAGAAATAATACACAGATATATTGAACATAAATACCTCATTTTCTATACATCCTGCTTCCTCAGTGGCTGGTTGGCGTCTCCTCAGACTCTGGCCTTCTTCTTCCCAGAATCCTCTGTGTCTGGCTGTCCCACCTATACTTCTTGCCGAGCTACCAGCCTGTCAGCTTTTTATTAACCAACGAGAGTAATACATATTCACAGTGTACAGAAAGATTATTCCACAGCAGCCTCTGACTTATTAATTCTAACCAGAATGTACCTACTTCCTCCAGTCCTCCTGCTCAGGTCGAGTGGTATCCTGGAAGTTCCTGGAACACACCGACCACATTGCAGCTGCACAATTCTGACCCTTACCCTTGCTGGAGCATCCTCATCCCAGGTAGTGGCATGGCTCCTTGACTCCTCTGATCTCTCTCCTCTTCAGGTCTCTGCTCAAATATTACATCACTAGAGACACAACCATCCCCAGACACCTTCTCAGTGAGCCTCTCACTCTTCCCTGCCCAGGACACCAACAGTGATAAACTGACCAAAACTCACTCTGCTTGTCCTCTGGTACTCCCCCGCCCCAACAACCTTAGTGACAGTGATGTCCTCTCCAGGAGGAAAGCAAAAACAAACATTTCGTTGGTTTAAATTCTAAGCATGCAATTACTTTAGCTAAAAAAGAAATCCTGTGTGTACATTTGATTTAGCATATTTCTTTTTCTTACTTTCTCCTTTAGAAATAGGGTAATTTGTGCTGGGCAGTGGTGGTGCATGCCTTTGATTCCAGCACTCAGGAGGCAGAGACAGGTGGATCTCTGTGAGTTCAAAGCCAGCCTGGTCTACAGAGTGAGTTCCAGGATAGGCTCTAAAAGGTACGTAGAGAAGCCCTGTCTCAAAAAAATAAAAAAAATAAAATAAAGGAAAAAGAAATAGGGTAATTTGCATGGAAATTAATTCTGAAAACTTAAGCTATATAGTGAGAGAGAGAGAGAGAGAGAGAGAGAGAGAGAGAGAGAGAGAGAGAGAGAGAGAGAGAAAGAGAAAGAGAGAGAGAGAGCTCTGGAGAGATGGCTCAGCAGTTAAGAGCACTTGCTGTTATAGCAGAGGACCTGGGTTTGATTCCCAGGCAGCACCCACATGGTCTCTCACAACCATCTGGAACTCCAGTTCCAGGGAATCTGATGCATTCTTCTGGCCTCTACAGGCACCACACACACACACACACACACACACACACACACACACACACACACACACACCACAGACATACATAGAGTACGCAATCATACATTCAGGCAAGACACCTACACACATACAATAAAATTTTTAAAATTTAAAAACCATAGTGTTGACTTTGTGTGTGTGTGTGTGTGTGTGTGTGTGTGTGTGAGAGAGAGAGAGAGAGAGAGAGAGAGAGAGAGAGAGAGAGAGAGAGAGAGAGAGAGAGAGCATGTAAAGGTCAAAAGACAGCATTCCAGTTCTCTCTCTCCATCGTGTGGGTCTCAGGCACCCAACCCTGATACAATCACAGAGTCATTAGACCATCTCTGGATGTCTTATCTTCCGGGTATGTCCAATTTAAAAATTGGACCATGGTGTATATGTTTTAGATTATTATTATTATTATTATTATTATTATTATTATTATTATTATTTGTGTGTGTGTGTGTTTTCCACATTTGAGTGGTACCTGTGGATGCCAGAAGAGGACAAGGAACCCTTGGAGCTGAAGTTACAGGTGCTTGACGTGGGTGCTAGGAATCAAACTGGGGTCACCTGGAAGAGCAGTAAGTACTCTTAGCCTCTGGTTCATTTCTCCAGTCCCTAAGTCTCTGGATTTTAAAGCTGCTATAATTGGGGTTTTCTGTTACGTGTAGCCAAACGTAAGACCACAAACATAATTTTAAAAATGTCTGCTGCTTTCAGATTTCGTCAGGTTTCTTCTTCAAGGAAATCGCGCTCTGATCTCTAGAGAGTGGGTACTCTTTATTACCTGAGAACAAAGATGTGGCAGAGTGTGTGGAGGGCACGGCAGAGTCAAAGTGCTCTCCATGGAGAGTAAAGCTCTGGAGAACCCGGCTGGGAGCAGGCTGCTGGACCCAAATCCTGGTGGGCATGGCAGAGTCAAAGTGCTCTCCATGGAGAGTAAAGCTCTGGAGAACCCGGCTGGGAGCAGGCTGCTGGACCCAAATCCTGCTGTTACCACCAACTAACCCAGTGTCTCTTCTGTAAACTGGCGAGAGGAGTACTCCTACCCCAAAGAGTGTTCTGAAGGATAAAAGGTACAGTATCTCATATATGGAGCTCAGTAATGTTACTGGTAATAGTGTTTATTCCTTAATATAATAATGGTTTGCCTTTTTTTTTATCCTCTATAAATGATGCAACCAATTTATTTGTCTGCCCTTCTCCTTCATCCCAAAGAGAGGGTAGTAAATGGCCTGTAGTAAGTTCCTACTAGATATGGGATCTTAGTTAAATAATTTGCCTTATTGTATTATTTAATAATTTCTTGTTTGATCAGAAGTGTGTTTTTAAAAGCATCTGGGGATTGATACCAAATTTATCTTCCCAGAGTAAATATATCTTATAAAAATCTATTCTTGGGGCTGGAGAGATGGTTTAGTTGTTAAGAGCAATCACTGCTTTTCTGGAGAACTTAAGTTCAGTTTCCAGCGCGTATATCAGGTGGCGCATAGCTGCCTGTGACTTCAGCTCCAGGGGATCTGATGCCCCCTTCTGGCCTCTGTGGCTATCACACTCATGTGCACATATACACACATACAGACCCACCCACACGCACATAGATAAAGGTAAACTCTTTAAAAAGAATCTGTTCTTTGTATGTGTGTGTGTGGGAAACCCATCAAATGTTAGCAGCAATGATAATTTTCAGATTTTATGCACTGTTTGTTGTTTGCAGTACGGGGGATTGAACACGGGGTCTTTTGTTGTTTGTTTGTTTTGCTTTTTTTGAGACAGGGTTCCTCTGTGTAGCCCTGGCTGTCCTGGAACGCACTCTGTGCCCCAGGCTGGCCTCGAACTCAGAGATTCACCTGCCTCTGCCTCCCAGGTACTGGGATTAAAAGTATGCGCCACCAGCACTGGCTGAACACAGGGTCTTAAGCATGCTACATAAGTGCTCTACCACTAAGCTGTCTCCACACACCTTGGTATTTTGCATGTAAAAATTTTGTAATAGAAATAGCTATTTTTAAGAAGACTACATGAGTAGTCTAGCAGAAGCTGTAGGAGGAAGGAGTCAAATGCACGTCACGATGGTGGATGCCCAATAACTTTTGTTATGCTTTGCGCCTTCCTCAAAGCATTGAAGCAAGATAATAGAGTTTGAAAACCCTTGATAAATGAACATATCTTTATTATTCTATTAGAAAAAAAATGGGAGTGCAATTTTCATCTAGCAAATCCATATCCAGTGATCACCAGAGCCAGGCACATCATCTTTCACAAAGTAAACAGCACATAGCCATTTCCATCAGACTGACTGTAAGATTATTATACTCAGAAAGGAAATTCCAGGAACCTGCATTCTAATTAACATGGAAATGAAATCCACAGAATAAATATGTATCCAAAGTGTATGCAGTCCCAGGGTACAATGTAGACAGCTGCAGGTTGATTGGATCTGGTTGCATTAACAGCGTGAGTGTTTGCTGGAGAACATCGAGTGGAAAGTTGACATTCAGTTCAATTAAGAAGAGCAAAGTAAAAATGATGAAAGCAATTTCCTTTGTTCAGTTCAATTAGGCAGCCAACAGCAGGCTACTCTTTGACCTTCCTGGGAAGGTCCAGGACGGCTTCTAATGACCATTAAATGAACAGCCAGACTATTCTTACAAATGTTTAACAGGCAGGACTTAGGAAAGCACATTCCGGATGGAAAATCAGCCGAGGATGATTTTGCAAGAATGTCTGTGGCATGGTTTATTGTTCCGAGTTATCAGTGTTCAGTCTGGGGAGCCGGGAAGGACTGGTGAGCATACCAGATGAGAGTGAGTGTGGGGTATACCAAACGGAGTCAAGAGGCCACTCTCTGCCTCTTGCTGATTTGTGTTCCCAGAGCTGAGTGAACAAAACAGACAGCCCCTTTGGGTGCTTCCTGACGTGGGTGAGGAGCAAGCCTGGTGTTTGCAAAGATGCACAGTTTCTCAATTAAGTGTGTCCACTTGTGGGACTAGAGTGTAAGAACAGTGCTGGTTCCGCCCAAGGTCATCATCATTCTAGCTGCTGTTGCAGTAAGGGGCATACTATTACTTCATGGACCAGTCTACACTGCAGGGCTGTGGGAATTAAGTCTCTTCTCTGGCCGGCTAACGTCCAGGTTGCCACGCCAAACACTTGTGTAAACACTGAGCTGCTAGAACCAGGTTTGAGACTGTTGTCCTTTCCTCCACACCCCCATCCCTTCTCACTGGGATTCAGAGTCAGCATTCACAGCAGACACTGTGGGCCACGTTCCATGCTGGAGGTTTCCATGCAAAATCTGCCGCCATTTGGCCTTATAATTAGGGACTCCAACAACACACCCCAGATTGGGTGTTTTGACTCAAAACCACAGGCTCTTTAAAATGTAATGGATTAGGTTATCGTTATGTTTAACTAAGGTAGTACAAGACATATTTGAATTCTGCTTTAATACTATGGCTGAAGTAATACGCTCTACACAAGAGTTTCAAATTCTAACAAAACAGGATAGCATACATAATAGCAAAGGTTTCCTTCTTCTTCCTCCCTTCCTGGTTTTTCTCCATTGAAATCCAGTGCATTGTAAAAAATGACCATAATAAACTTTTACATTTCCCCCTTAGCAGGTAGGGGCCCCTTGAGTCTGGAGCAGCCTTTCAGTGTGCTTTGATCAGTAGTAGCTGTTCAAAGTGCTAAGGAACAAATTCAAGCCCGAGCTTCGAGAGTCTCTTGTAGCGTCTTGTATTCTACCATTGGAAAAAGGCAGTGGCCGAGTGACCAGCCCCAGGAGAGCTTGCTGAAGCCGAGACTTGCTGAGCTGCAGAGACACGAGCTAAAAAAAAACAGTTGTTATCTTAAGCCACTAATTGTGGGAGTGATTTGTTGTGCATCAAAAGGTGAACAATGGTATAGTTTCTGGCGTCTCTAATCTATAAGGACACAGGAGCATGAGCTCGTGGAGGAACCGGAAGTATGAGCCTAACGGGATCCAAAGAAGAGCGTAGCACAGTCATCATCGTTACAACACAAGGGAAATCAGGGAGAGGCGGGAGAACACGTAGCAAGAAGTGGTTTTCCACTTTGATACATTGTATAGAGTCTTGCCAGCCTGCTTCAGAGCTGCTCAGGCACAGAGCTGTTTCTGGAATTTGCTGTCAATTTGCTCTCTTGTACGAACTGGATAGTACTGAGATGGGGATGGCTCTTCCATCTGGAACTCTGCACAGAGAATGCTCATGATGGTGTCTGTGATTTTCGAAGGTTTTGTATGCATTGTGGCAATTGCTGCCTGACTGATAACCTCACCTCCTATGACCTCTAGGGATTGAGACCCCAGGAGCAGGAGGACCCTAGAAACTGCTGTCATCTGAGTGCGGCAGGAGCCAGTGGGGGCCAGTCTCTGCAGACACCCTGGGAACAGAGGTCGGCTAGGCTGTGGGCATGTGCAGAGATCCACACTGGACCCCTGCTCAGGGCAGGTGATTACTGAAGAGAGGGCTCATGGGGAGGCATACACCAGGTCCGTATCTACTCAGCCTGGAATGGGCAGGTCTAGAAATGGTGAAGAGGAGTCCAAGTATGATGTGATGGTGCATGCCTGCAATTCCAGCATTTGAGAGGCTGAAGCAGGAGGAGCAAAAATTCAAAACCAGCCTGGGGCACAGCATCATGAGTTCCTGACCAGCCTGGGTTATCTAGAAAGACTGTTTCAAAAGAGAAAAAGAGAAGTTGGAGAAGAGACTGTTTTGAATATGTGACAGACTTCCTATATCGGCAATAGGAACAGTAATTGGAGGAATTAAGGGGTGAACTCAGAGTTAACCTTTAGGAGACCAGAAGAGGATGAAAAACATGTCTGAAAGGGATGACAGTTCTTACACAGCATCCTGTGTTTTCTTTCTCTCTGCAGCTTTTAGACACTTCTCTTTCTAACTAGGGGTTTTGAAGTTTCACAGTGAAGGGCTTTGTGATGCACACGTGTTCTAGTCATCGAAGGGGGGGGGGCAGCCTATCCAACCTTTCAATCTGAAGACACGGCCTTGATTTCAGCAAGTTTTCTTCTAGTATTTCTTTAATAAACTTTCCCCACTCCTCTCTTCCCTGGCCCTCACTGCTCAGACACCTCACCTCCTATATTTGTCCCCTCCTGTTGTACATCTAACTTTTGCCCAACTTTCTAGATTTCCTTGATTTTTTTTTTTTAAGGTTGACTCCAAATACAAGAATTTTACTTGGAATTTTTTTTTTTTTAAAGTTTACATTCAAAAGAGTGGGAAACACCAGAGAGGAAGAGTTTTATGTCCTGTTATGGAAAGACCATACAGAAAGTAAATGGAAAGTCCAGAGATAGGAAGGCTGTTTTATATAATAACAATGGGGGCAGAATTGATATCCAGATTGATATCATTTGTATACCCATGATATACAATGTGAAAAAAAAATCGATATTGCAGGATGCAGCAGTATAAAGGGAGGGAGGGCAGGAGGGAGGGAGGTGGCTTGAACATCTGACACAGGGTCACTCTCCAGAGGGCTCTGTTAGGAGATAGGGCCCTGATGGGGGAGATAAACACCATGTACAGCGTGGTGGGGACCTGAAGGGGGAAACAGAACCTTCAGTTCTCAGTGTACCAAGAGAGAGAGAGCCATAAACGGAGCCTTCTCTTCAAACCCAGGGCTCGAAAGGGGTTTCTGATCTTACAGGTTTTCAAGGGGGGGAGCAAGCTCCACACCACGTGACCTAGCCTGGCCTGGCCTAATTGCTAAGGGGCACAGATGCAGCGGCGGCGTTAGGTAGCTCCTGCAAGGGGAGGAACGGCAAGGCCACAGCGTGGAGTGTTTTCTCTAGAACTTTCTGTCAGAGGAAGAGCGGCACAGGGCGTGGCCCGATTTGGGGAGAAGGAAGGCAGTTCGAGGGCCTGTGGTCTAACTGGAAGAAGCGATGGGCGAGGGAAGGATGGAAGTGTGTATGGGGTGTCTGTGGGTTGTGTGTGTATGTGTGTAAGTGGTATGTGTGGTGTGTCTGTATATGGTTTGTGTGGGGGGTAGGGCGTGTGTGCATGTGGGATGTGGGTGT